GACGGGGATCGGGGGTCCCCAAACGGGGTGGTGACCACACCGTTCGGTGAGTCGGTGGGGATTCGGGGTCACCGTACGGTTTTGGGATTCGGGTCGTTCTCCGAGGACGTCTCGGGCGACTGGGGCATCCGATGTCCCAGAACCGTGCGTTGACGGACCGTGCGGTGAGGTCTTGGGGGATTTCGAGGTCACCGCACGGTCTGTCACCGCACCATTTCGGGACTTCAAAGGGGAGGTTAGGTCGTAGGGCACGAAACTCGAGGCATAAAAAATGGTCGACGCTTCGCGTATCCCCACCAGGTCCGTAGCCACTGGCTCAAGCCGTCTGCGGGCCTAGCTCCCTCGAGCCACTCTCCCGCGCTCAAGGGGGCGCCCGGACCCTGCACCGCGCCCCCCCGGCCCTGGGCCCCGCCGCTCCGCCAGCGCGCGCCCGCGATACCAGCTCGCTCGCGGTGCTGCTGTGGCCCGCGGCTCAGATCCATGGAGGACCAGCCTGACGATGGGGATGGAGGCAATGATCCCTCAGTGCAGGGCGCGGGAGCCCAGTCACTGTTATCGATCGGGCCCCACCCTGATCCAGATCAGGCGCAGACCCCCCGCAGGCAGCAGCCCCCCCCCCCGCAGTCGAGGCAGACACAGGGCCGACGCCAGCTGCGTCCACGTTGGCCCCCTGCCCCGCGGAGGACGGCAGCCATATAGAGGGGGATGGAGCCCGTTCTGACGCCACCCTGGACCCCGTCCTGATCCCAGTTCCGTCCACGCCTCCCTCCTCCCCCCGCAGGGGGTCAGGCCGTGATTGCGAAGCCCCAGCAGCAGGTTCCACCCAGCCCCCAGAGGCCGAGAACGAGGCTCTCGTAGGGAACCAAGAGGCGGCCGTGGACGAGGTATCTGGAAAGAGTCGACACGAGTCCATAGAAGTGGACGGCGCTGGCCTCCTACCAAGGGGGCAGGCAAGCATGCCCCCCCTCGCAGCGACGGATGCCTCACCTCAGAGACCGGTAGGTGAAGAAGAAAGAGCGGACTCTGAGCAGACAGCACTGCTCCAGAGGGCCGTCCAACCCCACTCTTCCTCCAATACATCGGTGACTGCGGCTTTTGGCTGCGCCCCCCAGCTTCCTCCTCTTCCTCGTGACCAGGATCTGTGCTCAGTGGTTCTTGGCTGCGCCAACTCTAACCAAGATTCATCAGTGACTGCGGCTTTTGGCTGCGCCCCCCACCATAGCGAGATGCCAATGAATGACGCTGGTGATTGCAGATCGCCAGATGACCCCCCCCAGGATCGAGCCCCGCCTGCGCCCATGGCGGGCTCGCAGGACGCCCACGATGACAGAGAGGACACCCTACCCAGGAGCCCGCAGGACTTGATCAGCGCCAGCGGGGGGGATCTCCCGCTCAATCCACCCCTCTCGCCCCCGCATGCCCCCTCTGCCGCCTTCCCGATTCCTCCTCCCCCTGCGGGCCTGGGCGAAGACATTGAGTCCCCCCCGCGCTCCCTTTCCACCCGATCGGGATCGATGCTGACAGCGGACAGCAGCCCTGGGATGAGGTCGACTGGGAATGGCTCCTGCAGGACCGCGAGCCCAGCGGAAGCACCCCTGACAGCGAAGCGCACCACGATTGGGAGGACCCCGACGAGATCGACGACGGATCAGCCACCCGCGCCCGCGGTCGCCGGATCACTCCACCTCCAGGCCCCCCCCTGTCCCCAGCGCCAGGCTCAAGGCTGCTCAATTCGGAAGGGCAGGTGGCTGACCTTGGTCATGGCGTAGACCCAGCTATCCGCGGGCCCTCCCCTCATCCCAGGCGACGCGGCACCCGCGACGCCGACGCCCCCCTCCTGGCCCCGAGGGTCGTCGACCCACTGGGGCACCATGAGAGGAGGCACACTAGCGGCGCTCATGGAACACCACGAGCCATTGGAGGGCCGCTCCCCAGGCGCGCTCGCCCCGCAACCAAGCAATGAACAGTGGCCTTGAAAGTGTGGTAAGCTTTTGCTGGCTCCGCCACCCTCCCTGGCACGCAACCGTCAGCGGGGGCCCTTCCACGGCAGGGGGCGTCCAATGCCCCCATCAGGGCAGGCCCCAGCCATGTGGTGCTAACGGAGCAGGAGTCCCCCCAGCAGCGGTGCACCTGCGCCTCGGCAATGGCACAGCTCGGCCTTTCCTGGTTGGCGTGGTCAATCACAGGGTCTGACTATGAGGCGAGACTCGGAGGAGTAGGTCCGGACCCTGTTCAGGTATTGGCCTTTCGTTGCGCAAGCCTGACACAGGATCCTGCCATCGAAGCGGAGAGCCTGGACTGCGACGAACCAACCCAAGCCGAGATCATTGCGACGGAAAGGGAATACGATGTCCTGCATTATGCCGCCCTCTACGCAGACATCGGGGTGGGGGGCCCGTCGGAGGGCCTCTTTCCGCCGCCCCTGTTATCCCAGACCACAATGAGGTCAGGAACTGGGCGGTCAGCAGGGGCAATCGGGCCGACGCAGGGGCGGGCGCCCTTTCTACTGAACAGCATGGAACGGCGCAGGACGGCTGGGCCACCCCTGCCATCCCAGGCGCGGGGCCCCATTCCCCAGGCATCACAGGGCCCGTCCTCGAGGGTAGTGACACGCCCGAAGGGCCCTCGCCCATAAACAGTACATCCCACATGATAAGGTTCGGGGACTTCTTCCGCCCTGTCGACAGATGTGACAACTGCGGCTGCTGGCTTGCGCGTGACCCTCGCGGCCCCATGTGCGTCGTCTGTCGCAGGCTAGCCCCCCCCTGGGTGCTCGCCGCGAACGGACTCTACCCCGACAGCCTCGAAGCCCCAGGACATCTTCTAGACCTGCTAGGCGCCTCACTCGCCTTCCAACTGGCCAGAGTGGGGGCGCGATACGCCCTTATCGCCAGCCACATCGGCTCCCCAGACCCCCCACCAGAGACCACCAGCTACTCCCCGTCATGGCTGATCTCGGAGTTACTCGCAGAATGGCGCCACATGACCGACATGGCACTCGCCAGCGGCAGGGCCGCAAACGAATCCTGGTGCCCGACTGCCGAAAGGGGCGACGCAAGTCTGGGGGGCGAACCGATGCTCAGAGCCGCGGTGGGCGCTCTCGCCAGACTCTGTCTGCAGCGCCCCGCAGGGATGGGCCCTGGAGACTGTTGCTCAAATCCGGGACCGCACCAGGGGAATCCCCTCCAGCGGGCCGCTACGCGACTGGGTGCCTAGAGGCCTTGCCCAAACCTCCAGCGTGGCACTGCCGGCCCAGCTCCCCGACCCAGCGGGCGCCACGCCCTGGGCTCAGGACTTGAGGACAAGATGCCAGCAGTGCCTTGATAACCTCCCCACGGAGGACTCTGAATGGCTCCGCGGAGAAATAGGAGGCAACTTTCTGGATCAAGCTCTCTTCGCCGCCCCCGCGGGCAGGGCCTCCATCGAGGCGCGGTGCGCGAGCGCCGAGGCGACCGAGGTGGCCTGCGCAGCCCTAATCGCCTCCGCCAGAAGAGATGGAAGACTCATTGCGACCACCTTGCGCCAGGCAGCTCCAGTGGTGAAGCAGCGCGTCTCGCGATCGCGCTGCGCACAAGGGCGCGAGGGGTAGGCTCCCCCGTGACTCGCGGAGTCAACCAACAAACCATGAGGAGAGAGGGAGACGAGAATCGAGCAGGCGATGGGCACCAGCCGAGTAGAGGCACCCAGCTCCCCCCAGAGAGGGAGGGCAGCGCACGCCGACTGCAGCAGGAGATCTCGGAGATCCGCGCGCAGGTAGCAAGCGACAGCATACCAAGCGACATGACCTGGAGCAGGCTCCTGGCCCCTTTCATCTGGGAGTGAGCCACAGAGGGGGACCAGGTCGCACTCGAGCACGTCTTCGAGGCCACCGGGGTCCCGCGCTCCTTAGTGGCGCCTGCAGCCAGGCGATGGCACTACGGGCATTACCTCCCTACAGGGAGCGCACCACCGCCTCGGACTAGAAGCGGCAACCCTATCCCGCCTGACAGGAAGAGTGATCGAGGCACCCCTTCCAGGGGGATATATCCACCCAGAGCTCCAGGAACGCACCATGAGCTGGCTTGACCCGTTCGGCCACCTCCAAGAGGCAACCCTAACAGCAGACAGGAACGCAGTGGAACGCGGGATGCAGGCCCGAAGCGCCAGGGCGCACGCCAGGGGCGGCAATGCGGGTGCTGGAAGAGCTGGAGGTCGCCACCCTCCCTCTCCCACAGAAGGAGGGGCACAGGGCACCGCGACCCCCTGGCACGAAGACATCAGACAAATACTCGGTGACGAATCAAATATCAGCGTCAGGTCCCCCTCTCAGGCACACGGCAGAGGAGACGCGCTGGGCGCCCTCATTCGGGCCCTGGACGCCACGCAAAGAGATGACGAGGCCGCAGGAAGATCCAGGCAGCAGCGCATAGACCGCACCTCGTTCAGCGGCGCAGATGCGCAGTTAGTGGCGGAAGGGCTGCTCAGAGAGGCCAGGTCGCAGCTTGAGCCAGGGTGTTGGATATCCAGGGCCATGTGGCTGTGCCTGGCGCCGCACTACCCCCCCCCCTCCGACCGGTGCTCCAGGTGAGAGGCGTGGGCGCCAGACCGTTCGAAGTCCTCGCCATGTGGCCGCAGATAGCAGGCGTGCACACCCCCGACGACATCAGAGGCATGCTGGGTGAGGGGGGGGAGCAGGCCACCAGTGCGGAAGAAGCTGACCTCGGACCCGGCTGAACTCGGACCCAGCTGAAATCGGACCCGGCTGATCTCGGACCCGGTTGAATTCGGACCCGCTGAACTCGGACCCGGCTGAACTCGGACCCGGCTGATCTCGGACCCGGCTGATCTCGGACCCGGCTGATCTCGGACCTGGCTGATCTCGGACCCGGATGATCTCGGGCCCGGCTGATCTCGGACCCGGCCGGCCTGCTTTCGGCGCTCCTCCCGGCTTCCGGCTGGGGTTCTCCCGCTCGGCGCTCCTCCCGGCCTCTGGCCGGAGTGCTCCCGGCCCGCGGGCCCGG